AGCCAGTTCTGACAGGTTCTGGAGAACTGGTAGTGGAAATTTTGAGTAGTTTGGAGAACCGGCAAATAGGCTGGCCCCGCCCTTACTCCCTCCCAGCTGATCTTCTTTTGTTGCCCTGAACAGGAGAATGGAACTGGAAAGCAGGTTAGTGTGGTGGTGGTGGGGAAATGGGGATTTTGCAGTATCCTTCCCCTGCCATGCCCACAAAGCCACACCCACAAAACCAGTGGTAAAAAAAAATTGAATCCCACCACTGGGATTCACTGGGACTAGAAGACCTCCAAGGTCCCTTCCAGCTCTATTCTGTTTGATTGATTGATCGTAAATCTACTCTTGTGAGATGTGAAATCACTCAAAAATTTATTACTAACCATGTTTAATTTGCCACTGCGGAGACTTCATACCCACTTCTCTAAGTCCTCATTATGCTCGGTGAAGTAGGATGTCAAAAGGAAGATTACAACATCTCAAGGAATAGCTAAGAGAGTTTAAATTGGGTGAATCCAATTTACACTTTTATCTTTGAGCTTAGGGTAATATGCTCAATCGTTCCACTGTTCACAGGATAACATTTTGGGGACAAGGAGACCATTGAGAGAAATCTTATTAAAACCGGTAATGATGAGGCAGCATGAAAGAGAAGTTGAAACAGAGAGAAGAAAAGCAGAGCCATTACGCTCTCAGTGCTAAGGTTTTCCTTCCTTCAGAAGTCGGAGATAATATTCATGTTTGGCTAAACTGGAATATCAAAATCCCATCTGTTAATCCAGCTGCTTAAATCGCTGCGACCTTATTCAGTTTAAACAAGTGAGATATTAATAAGGGAGAATATTTGTAGCTCAGGTTGACATGAGGGGTCCTTGGTGCTCTCTGAGCTTGCTTGTTTTCTTGCAGATGTTTCGTTACCCAAACTAGGTAACATCATCAGGGCAGACGTAGGTTGCTCTCGGTTCAGCCTGGTTCAGCTGAACTGGTAGTGGTGATTTGGCCTGTGTCGCAGAACTGCCAGTGGCCCAGGCTGGCCACGCCCCCCCAAAACCAATTCCTTAATTTCTTCTGCCATCACTGGAATGTTTCTGCGCATGCGCAGAACAATTTTCAGTCAACTGAGCAAAGTGCGGTCAGAGTGAACTGCCACCAATTAATACAGGAGCCCACCCCTGAATCAGGGCTAGAAGAGAAAGGTGTTTGTGAAGAGGAGGAGGAGGAAGAGAAGGACAACAACAACTGTGGGGTGCTTGATGCTCCCTGAGCTTGGTTGTTTTCTTGTAGATGCTTCATTAACCAAACTAGATAACTGTCAAGGATTCAAATAGCATCCAATATAAAATCAGAGTCCGAGGCAAGAGATTCCTCAAAGTTCCAATTTATTAAGAGAGCCATGTCGGCACATCTGGGAAAACCCAAATCTTAAAGCTTCCCGGTTTTCCCCACCCAGTTGAAAGTTCAAGATCTTTCCTCCACTCCCACAAGTTCATCACATGGTCCAATCTTCCACTGCCATGAAGACAGATTCCTCCCATCCAGTTCCGGCCAGGTGCAGAGACAAAGATGACCTTGAATTTCTAAGAAGAATGTTATTATGGCTACATATCATCCCACGCAGTTATGAAATTCAATACCAGTTTTACTACCAGTTCTGTGGACATGGCTGGGTTGGCGAGATGTGGCTTGGTGGGTGTGGCTTGGTGGGCGTGACAGGGGAAGGATACTGCAAAATCTCCGTTCCCATCCCACTCTGGGGCCAGAAAGAGGTGGCATTTGG